TTTTATCAGTCAGATTCCACCGTGAAAAATGTCTGTTTTATCCCCGTTTTTGAGTTTTTGGCCATTGACTATCTTTAAATCGCTGCTTCCTGGTACAACAGTCGGCTCTGGAAGCGATCGCTTTTTTCTTTTTTTTTCTTCTTTTTTTGAAGCGAGTGGTTGAAGCAAATGGAGCATAAGAGCCCCCTGGTGGCTGAAGAAAAAAAATCCACGTATAAGCCGCACCGGACCATAAGCCTCATGGTTCAAAGTTCAGGAAAAAAGTCGCGGTTTATAGTCCGAAAAATACGGTAGATATATCCTGCTTTTAAATCCACTTTTTTCCATTTAAATCCTTCAGTTTTGGGTCTATATAAAGTGGAACTGCAATGCTTTGGTCTGAATTCCTCCTTRTTGTAGCTCCACAAGCCCCACCCCTTTTCTTAGGCGTGTCTCAGATCAACTCGTTTTAAGGCTGTCTCTTTAAATCCAAACAAGGTTCTGCACATCCCGGCCTGTCAGAGTCTGAACCAGAGGAGCAGGAAGATGATKAAAGTGTAGTTTGTGAGTCCAGACCTTATTTGGGTCTGTCGCATAAAATGTGACAAATATCATAGAAAATAAAGAAAACTGAACGGGTTGAAAAATCTGACCCAAACAGAAAATAAAGATATTTATGCAATGCTGGGAGAAACTAAATTCAACGTTTCTGCCTCTTAGAGAGTACGCAACAAAATGCATTTAACGGCTAAAGTGGATTTTGTGTATGTCTCTTTAAAAGATCCAAAGAAATAAAATATATATTTTTACTATGTTTGAACATTTAACTGTATGCTTCAAATTTATTGTACAAAGGATGAACAGTTTCATCTATTATTTGTAATAAACAGTGAATAGAAACATCGAATGCACRTTCTAAGTAAATTTGTCATAAATGGTTTTGAGCGAAGCTACAGCTGTAATGGGCTTGTTTTGTTTTTCATTTACATGGTACATCCTGTTCTTTAAAGCAGGGATGGAAAACATTTAAGCACTCGAGACAAACATGAAGCTTTTTCCGTCTGCACTGAAGTGGAGGCGAGCGATGCGAGAAGTCATATCGCAACTCTTTTTCTTTGTTTTTCACCTCCTGTCCTGCAGGGCGCCCTGACTCAGCTCATCCAGTACTACCACGGCTTTCACAAGATCCTGAACCAGCCCACGTTCCGCAGCCTGGCCGTCCGTTCCGAGCTCATCAACCTGCACCACCTCATGGTCGAGGTCAAGAAGCACAAACCCAACTTTTAACCAGACGGCTCATTCGGCGCGGCGGGCGTCGACTCTAAACTGAAACCTGGAAAAGATGACCCTGAGTTTCATCTTCAGACTCAGATGTTTGAAAAACATTTTTTCTTCTCCACTCGTGGTGGAAAAAGTTGTATGACGCATTAACAGGAAAGTGGCCTCGACTTTAGATCTGTTTATTTATAAAACAAAACTGTAATGGCTTTTCTGTGACCCTTTTTGTTTCTGAATCACTATTTATTTATGACCAAACTGTCACTGAGTAATTATGATTTAACACAAAGCTACTTCAATGTAAGTATGGAGGACTGAAACTGTGATAATTAGAAATAAAAGCAGAATTCTATAAATGGACCAATAAATAAATAAATACACTTTAAAAAGAACTTTATCATTTAAAGGACCTTCATATTTATTTGTCCAGCTCCGTTCCAATAACTTAAAAACACTTAAAAACATATTTTTTGTTTTTCTTTTTACTTGTTACATGGTTCCTGCTCCTTCACCAATAGGAGAGGAGCTGAGCCAAGAAGCCCCGCCCACCTTATTTGCATAACGAGGCAGAAATGCCTAAGGTAAAATAGAAACAGAAGACTGAAATGTAAAAGAAACAMATGGAAATTAAAAAAAATAAATATTTAAAAGGCACAAATGATGCTCAAGTAAAAGGAAAAACAAAAAATATATTTTAAAACAGTAAAATGTAAATTATGTGTCAAAATATATAACTTACTGGAACTAAGCTGGAAAAATAAATATGTCATCAATTAAATTATAAAACGAGGTAAAGTTCTCATTTAATTGGTGCATTTTAAGTATTTATTTATTGGTCTTTATATATTTCTACTTTTATTTCTAATTATTACAGTTTTGGTCCTCTATGTGTAACTAGTGCTAGCATGAAAATCACTTTCCAACATCCTGGTACTTCCACCAGTATCCACAAATTAAATTTATTAGATTTAGATTAGTTGGAAGAACAAAAAGTGTATTTTCACCACAAGTGCATAAAAAAATTCCTTGTTGAGCAAATGGTGACGGAAAACATTGAACGTACTTTACTGTAACAGCTACTGAGCAACTTGTTGGCTAAAATTAGCATTTGTGATGTATATTTTGTTTGGTTTTATGATTTAAAACTGCACCAGAAGCTCCTGCTGACTACTTGAAACACTGACCTTTAAAGGTGGCCTTTTTTTTTTTTTTTGTCAACACGTTTAGTATTTCATCTCAAGCCGTTTTGAGGGAACCAACAGCAGTTCAGACCTGTTTCCTTTCTTTGTTTGGACCGTGAGCTTGTTTCCTGTAAGCATTAACCTCCAGGACCAAAACAAGCCACTGTTTTCAGTTTTTAATCAGACTGTAAATACCAAGTAAATTTATTATGTTCTGATGATGCATAACAGTGGTTTTATTACCAGTCAGGTCCTTTATTGTAGAGGAATATTATTAATTGTTGACAAAAACACGACCATGTAAAAGAACTCTCCTTCAGTGTGAAACAAAGTGATGGAGAAAATGCTTCAAGTTGTGCGTTTTTTTTTCTTAGCAGTACAGAATCTTTGTGTCRCATTTATTTGTGTAAATTCATATATGATGTAATTCTTGTGTAATAAAATACATTCTATGGAGTTGAAAATAGACAAAAATCAAAACAATTGCTCATATTTTAGTTTAAACTCTTTATTGTTAATATATTTTCACAGCAACAAATGCCATAACTACTTTGAGTCAAAACTAATTGGTGTAAAGAAGAGCCAACTTTTTCTTTTTGAGATTTAAATAATGTATTTAGTATATTTACCAAATTATTTCCACAGAATAAATCTGGCAGAATATTTAATATGAGCTCTTCTTTGCTTGTTCGTTGTTTAACAAGTAAAAATTAAATGACAACTTGTGTAACTGCCCACAGGTTCACTCAGGGTTGAATGTAGATGTAAAGAGCTCCCTCTGTTTGTTTTCACCGTCTAAATATAAAATCTACATAAATGGTTACATTTGCATTTAGTGCTAAAGCTGGAGTTTAACAAAAATTGGTAACTTGAGAAGGGAAGAATGTCTCAAAGAAACCATAATTAATCCAGATAATTGTCCATGAAGCAGCACTAACAAAGATTTATAAACAGTTAAATTAATAAATGATTCATAAATATTTTTGAACAAAAGAATAATAAATGGTCATCAGTAAGAATAACTTSAGTTCAGCAACAATCCTACACTAGTGCACTTTACTTTTCATTGACCAGAGATGCTTAATCCTGTTTTGTTTTGTTTTTTAGTTGTACATAAATTTTCTCTCCACTTATGGAATCAGCAAATCTGTGCTTTCAGTTTGGTAAACCAGGCACCAAACACACTTCTTATTAAAAGAAAATAGGAAAAGAACATTTTAGCCTTAACAAAGCTGGAAAGGTTGCAGCAGATTTTTTTTGTTTTCAGGATCAAAATCTTCTAAACAAGTTTATTAAATCACAAACTCCATCGTCCTCCATAAAAATCACAAACTGGAGTGAAACAAATCAGTTTGAGCTGAGATCTGAGTACTTCCATGTACGTTAGATGGACGTATGACATCGCATCAGACTTGTGAAGTGAATCAAAGGGATGTCCAGATGCATCTCAGTAATCCAGGTAAAAAATCAAAAAGAAAAAAYTTGTAYAGGTCTTCTGGACGGGTTCTTCTCTAATGAAACGTTTCGTCTCTCCTCCAAGAGACTTCTTCAGTCTGAGAGTTTCAGGCTTTTAAGCACTGCCTCCATGTGACTGATACATCACATGGCTATCGTTGACACCTAATTAACACCTATTGTTAAAGGGGTGGACTTATACTGGCAATAGCAGCACTGTAGGAGGGGGACAACTGAAAACGGAGGCCTCCACCTCTGTTTAATGATGGACGGTCTTTCACACATACGACAGGCCCTGGAGCAGTGTGGTTATCCTGACTGGGCTTTCCTGAAAGCAGACAGGAAACACAGACAGGATTCCATGCAACCTTCAGGTGAAAATGAAGACCCCAAACCCAGACCCAAACCAGTCGTTATTCCGTATGTTGCGGGTGTTTCGGAGAAACTGAGATGTTTATTTTCTAAACATGATGTCCCAGATGCTTTCAAACCCCAAAACACATTACGACAAAGGCTGGTTCACCCCAAAGATCCGGTGCCCCGGCACAAACAGAGCAATGTTGTATATGCTGTTAAGTGCCAGGAGGACTGCGACCAGTTATACATCGGGGAAACAAAGCAGCCACTGTTCAAAAGAATGTCCCAACACAGACGAGCTACATCTAATGGCCAGAACTCTGCAGTTTTCACTCATTTACAGGCCAGCGGTCACTCTTTCAGAGATGAGGATGTTCTCATTCTTGATAGAGAGGAACGTTGGTTTGAGAGAGGAGTAAAAGAAGCCATTTTTGTGAAGAAAGACCGTCCATCATTAAACAGAGGTGGAGGCCTCCGTTTTTTAGTTGTCCCCCTCCTACAGTGCTGCTATTGCCAGTATCACTCCACCCCTGTTAACAATAGGTGTTAATTAGGTGTCAACGATAGCCATGTGATGTGAGTATCAGTCACATGGAGGCAGGGCTTAAAAGCCTGAATTTTGCCTGAAACTCTCAGACTGAAGAAGTCTCTTGGAGGAGAGACGAAACGTTTCATTAGAGAAGAACCCGTCCAGAAGACCTATACAATTTTTTTCTTTTTGAATCAAAGGGATCTCTACAAAAAAGTGCAATAATATTTATCAAATCTTTGAAACAATAAATGGTTGAAATCAGAGAAGGAACATGGCTTTTGAAGTGTGAACCTCAGAAATATTAGTAGGAAAGTTTAAAAGACTTTAGRAACAGTCAAGTGGGAAAGATTTGCTGACAATAAAACAAACTTATTATCTGCGTTTACAATCAAAGTCAAACACAAAAAAATGATCACAGGCTACTCATAAAGTGCACGTTGCTTAAAACATCGGCATTCTGCAGAAGGAGCTCTCAGTGGAGATGAAGAGTTTGCAAACTCCAAACAAAAAGAGAAACAATGAGAAGAACCGAGCAGCTGCTTTTAGCTGCATCACCTGGAAAAAAAAAACAAACAATAGAATGGAGATTAAAAAAATAAATCTTTTCAGTTGTGTTTGTTTTTAAACAGCTTCCTGCATCTAATTTAGTTCAACAAATATTTCTGCAAAACAAAACGGAAGCTTTACATTTTAATTTGGATTTGAGACTAACACTTGAGAAGAAAAATGTTAGCTTTTAATCATGTAATAGTGCTGTTTAATAGCTACGTTTTGGTCTTAAATTTAAGTTTCAGGGGAAAAAATCTACCTTTACTTTGCAGTTTTTATTTTTAAAAAATGCAATCGTACCTTTTGGTAAGTTTTCCTGTTTTTGATGAGCTCTCAATGTTGGGGAGTTTTCTGTAGGACAGAAATAAATTTGCAAATTTTATTTTACTGAAAGAGAAAACATAAAAAAATACATTTTACACAATCAAATCATGTGTTTGGACTGTCTGACATTGGTTACTGTAGTTGTTTTAACTATTTGGTGCTACACTTTTTTTCTATTTCATATAAAGCTAATGATTAAAGTAGACTATTTTAACATTTTAATGAAAAAAAGAAAGTGTAAATGTGTCTTTAAGGTGACTCTGTGTTCTCACCGGTTACAGAGAGCTGCACGGTGCTGACAGCGTAGCCGTTTTCATCCAGAACTTTATACGTTCCTTCATCGGAGCTCTTCAGCGTCTTTATGGTCAGCTGCTCGTGCAGCGGGTGTTTCTCCACGCGCTCGCTGTTTTTACCCCCCCTCGACCAGACGTCCAGCCACGCCGAGCTGTTCCTGTGGAGAGAAAAACACGTTGAAAACATTTAAAAACATCCGACTGAAGGAATTATCACCTGCTGCTGAAGACTAAACATCAGCGGCGTTAGCAAAATATCTAACGAATTGCTTTTGCAAACYGTGTTGAAACTCTAGAACTGATTAACTCTCGAGGTTAACCGATAAGGCCAGCACGGCTGAGCAAACACAAAATTGGCTATAATTCAGTAAACYGTACATAAACAGGGCTTAGATTTGATGTGGTAGTAGCTGAGAGTCACCCCCCAGCAGACACTTCATGCACCGACTGATCAGGTAAGATTTGGTGCAGTAAAAGCATCACATACCTCAACTATTAACACACTGTGACTACTCTGTGCTGAAAGGTATACGCATTCCTTCAAGAAGTGTTAGGACTTTTATTTTGTTTCAAACTTTGACACGTCGTCAAACTTTTACCTTTTTTTTGCGCCAAAATTTCTCCTAATTCTGAAAGCTGTCTTTGAAGGCATGTAATCAACCAACCAAAACATTTAAATTATAAATTACAATAATGAAGCGACTTTACTTGTTTTCAAAATATAGACTTTGACACAGTATAATCATTTTTGAATAGCATGAGTTTAAATCTAAGCTCAGACATGGGAAATCAAAGAAATGAAAAGCAAAACTAAACTAGACATGGRYTTTTAAGATGTAAAAACAAGTGTGCATTGCCTTGTAGCATGTCATTGCCTGCAGCAATGGACTTGCAGAATGAACTGACCAAGTTCAAATGTGTTTTCTAATCAAGTACCAGCTTGTGGCTGTCAGCAGGTGTTTGTAATGAGGGTAATTGTGTGAAAATATGAAGTTAGAATAAATTTTTGTTAAATGTATTGTGGCTGGGATTTGAACCCTGATGTCCCACATGAAAGGCTATGGCATTAAACCACAAAACCATTGGTGCTGGGAGAAAGTACAATCCCAGTGGTTTTTTTCTATGTGTGTAGATAGAGGCAACATTGCCAATGACGATCGTTGACAAAGAACTGCATAATATTACAACAGTAGAGCAATATTATATGATGTTTATGCTTATGAGACAATAATATAGTAATACATCAAATTACATATATATATATATCAATATTGTAATCACTGCAATAATTGAGATTAAATAAAATTATTAAACTATGGTGCAGTTCCATACTGAGAAGATACAGCAGGGGGCAGTATTGGACCAATACACGGTCCATTGACTCCCATTATAATTTATTAAACATAAATATTTCAAAAATTATAAGTTGTACAGGCACCAAAAGGCATAGTCATCATTTGGCACAGGAGCTTTACAGATACAAATTACAATGGCAGCTCTAGGACAAAGTATGCAGGAGGAGAAACGTGCCAAAGTGGAGATGACTTGGATGGGAAACGAATCACAATAGTGTGCATTGCATTGGCAATGCACGCTGATTAAACCCGGGCAGGTTCCGCTACTGTCTCAGTGGTTTCAAATAAAAGCAGTTTTTGTTTTATTGTTATTTTTTGCTAAGTTGTTTGTGTTGAAGGTAAGCGGTTTACCTGCTCTGGAAGACCACTGTAAAAGAGTGGGATGTGTGGAGATCTAAAACCAAGTCTTGACCTGGAGGATGTGAAACCCAGGATTTGTTGTCTGGAAGGAACAGAAAGGCATCAAGTACGGAGCCCGCGAGGGGACATGGGAGATTTTTTTTTTCTTTTGCATTCCCACGCAATAGTATTGCGTTACCTCGCAAAAGTCGTTTATCACTGTTGTGCCTGCCGTTTTATTAACAAACTCACATGTTCACCATTAGCGAGTTAGCCTACTGCTTTAATTCAGCTTCAGAATGAATATATCACACAGCCACGCATGGAAGTGTGTCACATATTTTAACACAGTGCAGCCACCCAACATCAATGTCAAATTCACAAACTGTGGCGACACATCCTGTTCTGGTAACTGGATATTTCAAAATAAAAGTCTGATTTAACTGARTTCATATACAAAACAAACTTTCGCGTGGGAACGCAAAACAATTTTGCGAGGTAACGCAAAACGTTTTGCGAGGTAACACAAAAGTATTGCGAGGTAATGCAAAGATAATGTGAGGTAACGTAATAGTATTGCGAGGGAACGCAAAAGAAAAAAAATACCCCCATGTCCACTCGCGGGCTACGTAAGAAAGTCATGGAAACCAGTAAATCTGAACAATGTCAAAAACAGAAGGAATTGAGCTATAATATGAATAAATCCAAATAGTTTACACAGTTTAAAAAAAAATATGAATATGCAAATGAGAATGTGGCAAAAAAAAAAAAAAAAAACATTCCCCTCACCGGTCACAGAGAGCCTGACGCTCTGAAGTAAGACACGAGTCTTCCCGGACCTGGCACCGTCCACCACCATGAAGCTCTCGTAGCTCCCCGTGTCTCTGATCTGGACGTCCTTGATGATCAGGGAGCAGTTCCCAGAGCCGAGCGTCTCCTCGGGAACCTCCAGCCGCCCGTCGAACTCCTTGGCCTGCCACTTGTCCTCGCTCCGCTGCTCGAACACGGTGAACGGCGGCGACACCCACTGGACGTGGCAGGCGGAGGGGCTCACCTCCGCCCGGTGGGGCTTCCAGCTGCAGGGAAGCACCACCCGGCTGCCCGCCTTGGACGTGACGGAGATGGGGCGGACGCCAGAGGGCAGAGCAGAGGAGTCTGAAACAGGACGGGAACGTCAGTGCTTAAATGCATTTTCTATAAAACAAGATTAGGAAAATAACCAATTTACTTCTGTGCGTGATCATCTCTTTTTTTAATTTTTTATTTATGAGTTTATTTCATTTCATGTCACAAATGGACTTCTGTAGAAACCACATAGTCCACCTGTTTAAAGTTCACCCTAATAGTTTTAACAGACCAGCATCTCAGCCGCCCTTCTGGATGGGAGTAAAGTRGCATCAGAAGCCCCGCCCCCTCCATGTTATCAAATGTGTTAGAGCAGTGGTTCCCAAAGTTGGGGTCGGGACCCACAGTGGGGTCCTGAAACATCAAGGTGGGGTCCTGAAAAGATTTTCTGAATTACTTACACTAAAACATTACAACTACCAACAATTTCTTTTTGCCTTTGTTGCTACAAAACAGAAAAGTTAGTGGACTTAAAATGGACAAAAAGAGAGTAATAAATATTGTTATTATGTTCTTGTTTATTTGACATGAAAACAATGTTTATCAACCAACAACACCTGGGGGCACAGGTCTCTGCTGCTGGTATTTTGTGGGTCAAAAGCTAAAAAGTTTGGGAACCAMTGCGTTAKAGGTTAAWTTTTACACTCAAAATAAAAACATGCTTGTCTGTTTTTTTAACTCAATGTTCAAATTACTTCGTGTCCTTTTCTCACTTATTAATCCAGCTGAAGTTTAACCTGATGCAATTAAAAAGTCCAAAATATGTAATTTATTAAAACCACAGAGAACAGCCAGATACTCACCAACTAAACCCCCAATAAGGAAACACTGCAGATATATGAAAAGCCTAAAACAATTAAAACACAGACACACAAGGAGAAAAATACCACAATGTAAATAAATGCTGTGCTTCCTTGTTATTCCCAGCCTGATTTGTCAGATAAAACTTTATTGCTGTAATAAACAATTTTAATTTTAGATTATTTGACTTACAAAACTTGCTATAATTTAGCTTTTGTTTCACATAAAATCTGCTCCAAACTGTGAMTACATTAACTGTAAATAAAAATAAATAAACAAACAAGTGTCATTCTGGAGAAATGAAACTATTTATGCACCAGGCTTCCTTGAAAACGAAACTCTGACCCATGGAGGAACCAGACCCACATGCGCCCCCTTGTGGCTTTATAGAGAATTACATCAATAATTTTTTTTTTTTTTTACTCTGAAATGTGCACGTCTGCAGATTGCATGCTAATTTACTAGAATTTTACAACATAAAAACAAACTAATACAGTGGGTGGACACCTTAAACGATTAAAAGTGATGTAAAACATTTAAACATGTTGCATAAATAAAACTTGTTTGCTTCTAAAAATGACAGTGTTCTTACCTTAGCCGTGTTTTCATTGTGGCAATTATTGGAAACTCAGTTCTCTCCTCGTCTCTGTCCTCCGTGGACCTGCCAGTGAATGAAAGCTACGGGTTTACTTCTCCCTGTTGACATCCCAGTTCAAAACTCCTCGCGCTCACGTCGCCTTCACAATAAAGGTACTCGCGTTAATAATTAGTCTCTTATTTTGAAAAACCGAGCTGCACGTTTGTGAACGCACACACAGGCGCGAGAAAAATCATATAAGTGATAAACAGCATGAAAGGTGATAAAATTAATCCCCCCAAAAGAAAAACATAACGACAGTGGTTTTATTTTGAAGGTCTTCGGTTCTGCAGTACATCCAAGCCGCTTCAATGACGCCCCTGTGCAGAATCGAAACCTACAGAACTGGAGATGTGCTGCAGTCAGGAGGGGAAGTCATATCTCTTGTTTTCTCCTRAAGTGGAAACATGTTTGTGGTTTTTAATGAACTCAAGACCCCGCTTTGTTCCCCCTCCCACTGTAAACACATCTGACACCCAAACCATAAAGCTGCCAGTCTGCAGACCTGCTCGTGCACAAAGTCTGGAAATTAACTCTCCTACTTTATGATCATGTCAGGTGTCACTTGGATTGTCACGTTTATTTGTAAGTTATTTTAATTTATATTATTTGACAGCTACACAGAACATGCAGATTATTTGCAGACAATTATAGTGCAAAACCTGCAAAAATATAATCTATGACTTCAGAAAAGAATATAAATAAACTCTGTTTTAATTATGAATTTAATGTGCAGGACCAGCCGTAACATAGGCCGTGTAGGCAAATGTCAAGGGTGCCGTCCAGCGAGGGGGGCTGCTACAAATTGTTGATGAGAAATAATATTTTATAAGTTTTTATCAGAGTATAGTTGATTTAGTCTGTGAAACCAGTGTTTATTCAAGTTTATGAAGGTTTGTTTTTGTCAGTCTGCTTTGTTTCTACATATGGTGCAGAAAAGTTTCATGATGCAGTCAGGACTTACGGGTGCTCGGTGTAAATAGATAAAAAAATAAGGATAATGGATGTTTTAATTTTAAAGTTTATGTTTGATTCTGGTTTTCAATGACCTACCTTCATAAAATACTGATTTGATGTTTTGTTAATGTCAAGAATTTAGTACAAAGTTTTTAAAATGGCTGAAAAATGCAGAGTTTTTGAATGTTTTAATTGGACAACCTGGTTTCTGAAGGCAAAAAAATAATATCTAAGATGAAACAATTTGTGTGTGTGAGTGTTTGTAAATCGGTAGTCTTTGGGTTTACTCTCCCTGTTGATATCCCAGTTTAAAACTCATCGCGCTCACGTTGCCTTCGCAATAAAGCAGAGATGCCCAAAGTGGGGCCCGTGGGCCAAAATTGGCCTGCCAATCTAATAACCAGTTGTCCTGGTTATTAGATTGTAATCTCCTGTCCTATGTAGAAACACTATATTTSCACTTTTCAACCATTGGTCCAACTACAGGTACAAGGAGCTGAAGTCAGATTAACTCATGGTACTCACTTTATCTTTGAATTATGTTAAGATTAAACATAAAATATAAGTGACTACAAAAGACATTTAGATTAGATTTAAGCACACGTCTAGATTTCCACATTTATATCACATATACTCAAATTTGAATTTGTGAAAACTCCCATGAGCCTTTGCTGCCCGATATGTTGAATTTTCTCCATGTCCATGGGCTGAAAAAAAATGAAAGTGGGCAACTGCACTGGCTGCTAGTTTATTCATAAAAATAAAACAACTTTACTTAAGAAGTATTTGCATTTCGTGTATTATATTACTGCATTTGGCCCGCGGCCCTCAGATTGATTTTTATTTTGGCTGTATGTGAGTGTATGTAAATTGTTAGTCTTTAGCGAGCGTCAATCACAGTGATCCTCTCATCCGCTCCCCTCAGGTGCTGCAGGATGTCACTTGTCCTCCTCCTCACCTGTCCCCCGCCCCACTCTGGTGGTCCACCCGGGACAGAACGTCTCTCTGACCTGCAACATCACTTCCAGCTTGACCTCAGACATCACCTGGTACCAGGTGCGCTCAGACCAGCTGCTGCCTCTGCTCAGCTGCTCAAAGAGCCAAATAGAAAAAAACCTTATATGCAGCTTTTACTCTGAGAGAAGCAGTCGCATGCACGTCACCGAAGAGCCAAACAGCGGGCTGATCCGCCTGGAGGTGCTGGAGGTGGAGGAGCAGGACACCGGGCTGTACTTCTGCAGTAGCAGGTGTGAAGCTGTTGTGTGTGTTAACGAAGGAATTCACCTCAAAGTGACGGGTAAGATTTAATTTTTTATGTCTTCTTTAATGGGTTCATTTTATGGAGATTTTTAATTTAAAAAAAATTAAAACACAATCAAATATAATAAAAGCAAAGGTTTTAGCAGAAAATGTATAATTATAATGGTGTTAAATGTTAGGCTTCATATAAACCATGATGAGTCGTTGTTTTGACCACGGACAAATAAAGAGGCTGACATCGCTCATCCTGCCTGCAACAGTTAAATGTTTTGTTGGATRTTTTTATTATTTGACATTTGCATTGGTTTTGATTTTTATTTCTCTTATCTCTAAGGCTTGTCGTTTACTGACCCTGAGAAGCCTCAGTATGTTTAAAATACACTCATAAAGCAGTTTCTTCTTTTCTTGTTGTTGCAACTTTTATTCCCAAAAATCAACGCCAAATGTTGCTTTTTTGTCCWGAATATATTTATCTATTTTTTAACCATGTTTAACTGAGCTGTTTTGTCTTTACTGCTTTATGTAAGTCAAATAACCAAAGGTAAGTTAGATGAATAAGTCGCTAATATTCCACAAACTAAGATTTTAGTGCTAATTTAAAAATTAATAAAATTTTCTGTTCATTTTTCCAACCATGTCTTGTTGGTTTGAGACKAAATGTTTTGTAAATGTGGTTATACCGTATGTAGTAAATAAACAATGATTTGGATAATTAAGTTTTTCATTAATAATGCAATTTTTTGTTTGATGTTATTTTGTGAATAATCCCAAAACATTGGTAACGTCCTCTAACTTTGAAAAAAGGAAATTTCAGAGCTAGAAAAAWTTGTATTTTGTGATTTATTGTATGTGTAATAAACTGAATAGATGAGCCTGCAGAATATTTTTCTTGTTAGTAAATGCAGAAAAAATCTAACTTATTTTTTTTTCAAACAGAGTTAACGCTGAGTTACATAAAGAGTTTCTTTTTCTTAACATCTTAAGCCAGTTTATTTCCCTTTTTTTATTTTCTTTCTTATCTTCTCGCTTAAAAAAGTCACTGATGATGAAGAAATAAATGAACTAATAATATTTGGTTTCGTTTTCTACTGAAGTGATAAAAAACATCTTAAGCCCCAAGGGCTTTTATTCAACTGGTTGTCATTTTAATTGTCAAGTGCAGTGTTTCCCAAAGTTGGGGTCGGGACCCAAAGTGGGGTCCCGAAACATCAAGGAGGGGTCCTGAAAAGATTTTCAGAATTAATTACATTTTTGCCTTAGTTGTCACAAAGGAGTGAGGTTAGTGTATTTAAAACGGATAAATGTAGTATAAAAATATTGTTACTATACCCATGTTTTGTTGACCTGATACAAATGTTTATCATCCACAAACAGCTGGGGGCACAGGTCTCTGCTACTGTTATTTTGTGGGTCAAAAGCTGAAAAGTTTGGGAACCAGTGCACTTTGGTTCCCAAAGTTGGGCTTGGGACCCAATTATGGGTCATGAAGCACCTTGGATAATCTCCAGAAATCAATTTAAAGGGTAATAAAATAATAGCTGATGTAACATTTCCCCTATAATTATTACAAAAACACAAAATAAGTATAAATAAGCATTTACAGTATATTGGTGTATACAC